AGTATCCAATATAGAAGGCAATGGTCATGTGATGTTGACCACTCCTGTTCGTTTGATTTTCTGTCATGCCTCAGGAATACCGCTCTTCGGTGCTGCCCGTGATACAGCAGGATCGGGACACCCTCACCGAAACCCAGAAGAAAGAAACGTGTAAACTCAATAACTTCTTCTGCGGCCTACATCTACTGGTCAACCTGGCAGATCACTCTGGTGCCGTGATTAAGGAGTGGGAGGCAACACAGAGTGGGAGTTCGACAAGTTGCCCAGGCGCAAACCAGCCAAACGAATGTGGCACGTACCGCCTGATCAGAACTGTGTGTAAGGCATTCGAGCGCCGTGGGAGTGAGCAAGTTGGAGAAGCTGCTGGCTTCCAAGCCTTTGCCACTACCAACGGGCTCACTCACATCCCGCTTGCCAAGTTCAGGGGCAACAGGTTTAACATCATTTTCCACAACGCTGCTGGAATCTACTTCCTTGCTGAGACAATGACTGCTTACCTGGCATTTAGTTGTGGCAACCGGTTGCTTGCTGCTGTCAAAGAGGACCTCCTCGACCCACGATTTGTCACTGGCTGCCGGGCTGTAGGGCTTTTCGGCAAATTTGTCACTGCTCCGATGTGGCGATTCCTGGAATCAGACGCACCGTTCACCTCTGTCCAGAGTGTGTACCAGGAAGTCGAGACGCAACTGGCAAGATGGTCGGAGGATGCAAGTGAGCTCGTTGACGGCACTGCGAAGCCATTTGCAGCAGCCACTATAACACAGCCGGACGTTGTTCTCGACAAGCTGCTAGAGCCAACGCAAGACGACGCTTTGGTCAAGGGACTGTTGCAGCTGCTCGCCGTAGCATGGCACACGTATCTCCACAGAGTATGGGAAGTGCAGTATGAGCAGGGTGCACCGGATCCAGAGCAGACTGCAACAGTCCCGAAAACCAACGTCGTGTCCGAGCGGGACTTCGGCCAGCTAGACCGTCTACTGAGGAGCAAGCCGAATGCTTCCATGCTGGCTATCGAGGCACAGATTATGCTCGCGAACAATCGCCCCCTCGATTGGTTGAGCTTCCGCACACCAGAGGAGCAATCAGCGATACTCGAAGTTGCCAGGCAGCTGGTTCCAGAACACAAGAGGCTCCAGAAAGCCAGGCTGTCTGCCATCAACGAGTATCGACTGAAGACTGTGCAAGCCAAGCAGCAGGCCCACCAGCAGAGAGAGCAACGGCGAGTGGCGGAGGCGGAGACCATCACACAGCAGCTTGCCAGGATTCCTGGTGGGCTCTGGACGACCGGAGATGGAATAGCTGAGGGACTGGCTGAGCTTCCTACAAACAAGGCGAAGGTAGACGCTCTGAAGTGTCAGCTGAAGTTCAGGAAGAAAATCCTCGTCCAGCAAGCGCCGCACACACTGTTTGCCTTCTCGAAAGCCGGCAAGCCATTCTCCATCGCCGAGCTGAAAGCGAATCTGCTGCGTCTCCTTGAGCTCTCACCAGCCTCAGCACACCATGTAGCGCTGTCGGATTCGGACGACATGCTGAATGACGATGATGGTGGCATGGTTCCGCAGTGACCAGGAACATCAAACATGGCACCTAGTCGATGCATGGCTGGTGACATCAACATAGCTGGCTGTTACATCAGTTAGTGCATAAGCGATGACACAGCGACGATTTGGCTCGGATTGCGATGTATGTTTCGCCCCTCCCAGACTCCTCAGTCATTCATGAACGTCTTCAGGTGAAGCTTGATGTAGTAGGATTAAGACTCCTACGCAGCATCATTATGGAAGAGAAATTACCTGGCGAAATGGTGGTAAATACACGCATACCCACTCAAAGCTCTCTAAGCTACAATGGTTGCCAGACTGTTGTAGCTTAGAGAGTGCTGCAGGGGCAGGCGTGTACTCAACAAATTTGGCACTGCTGTGAATAGTTTAGTCGCAAATTGAAGATTCACGGGTAAAAAGCCCCAAACTGTGAGATTGGTTAATTTTCAGCTTTCAGCAGCCCTGTGCAAGTTCTTTAGAGAAATGTGGCTGTTTTTCTTGGTGCACTTGTCTATGTCCAGCTGCACAACGAGATGAGGCTGGTCATTGTCATTTTCTGAGCTGTGCACGGGCAGGAAGGTGAGAAAATGTCGGATTTTGACCATTTGTGCTGACCTTTGAATTTCAATGTACCTCTCTATAACATGACCCAGCTGTAATGTCAGTGGTCGCATTGATTTGATTTTTGGTTTGCTTGTAGGGCGCTGGCACCCACATTCAGTGACCTAGAAAATGTGGCACTGCTGTGAATAGTTTAGTCGCAAAGTGAAGATTCACGGGTAAAAAGCGCCAAACTGTGAGATTGGTTAATTTTCAGCTTTCAGCAGCCCTGTGCAAGTTCTTTAGAGAAATGTGGCTGTTTTTCTTGGTGCACTTGTCTATGTCAAGCTGCACAACGAGATTAGGCTGGTCATTGTCATTTTCTGAGCTGTGAACGGGCAGGAAGGTGAGAAAATGTCGGATTTTGACCATTTGTGCTGACCTTTGAATTTCAATGTACCTCTCTATAACATGACCCAGCTGTAATGTCAGTGGTCGCATTGATTTTATTATTGGTTAACTTGTAGGGCGCTAGCACCCACATTCAGTGACCCAGAAAATGTGGCACTGCTGTGAATAGTTTAGTCGCAAAGTGAAGATTCACGGGTAAAAGGCCCCAAACTGTGAGATTGGTTATTTTTCAGCTTTCAGCAGCCCTGTGCAAGTTCTTTAGAGAAATCTGGCTCTTTTTCTTGGTGCACTTGTCTATGTCCAGCTGCACAACGAGATGAGGCTGGTCATTGTCATTTTCTGAGCTGTGAACGGGCAGGAAGGTGAGAAAATGTCGGATTTTGACCATTTGTGCTGACCTTTCAATTTCAATGTACCTCTCTATAACATTGCCCAGCTGTAATGTCAGTGGTCGCATTGATTTGATTATTGGTTTGCTTGTAGGGCGCTGACACCCACATTCAGTGACCCAGAAAATGTGGCACTGCTGTGAATAGTTTAGTCACCAAGTGAAGATTCACGGGTAAAAAGCCCCAAACTGTGAGATTGGTTGTTTTTCAGCGTTCAGCAGCCCTGGGCAAGTTCTTTAGAGAAATGTGACTGTTTTTCTTGGTGCACTTGTCTATGTCCAGCTGCACAACGAGATGAGGCTGGTCATTGTCATTTTCTGAGCTGTGAACGGGCAGGAAGGTGAGAAAATGTCGGATTTTTACCATTTGTGCTGACCTTTGAATTTCAATGTACCTCTCTATAACATGACCCAGCTGTAATGTCAGTGGTCGCATTGATTTTATTATTGGTTTACTTGTAGGGCGCTGGCACCCACATTCAGTGACCCAGAAAATGTGGCACTGCTGTCAATAGTTTAGTCGCAAAGTGAAGATTCACGGGTAAAAAGCCCCAAACTGTGAGATTTGTTATTTTTCAGCTTTCAGCAGCCCTGTGCAAGTTCTTTAGAGAAATGTGGCTCTATTTCTTGGTGCACTTGTCTATGTCCAGCTGCACAACGAGATGAGGCTGGTCATTGTCATTTTCTGAGCTGTGAACGAGCAGGAAGGTGAGAAAATGTCGGATTTTGACCATTTGTGCTGACCTTTGAATTTCAATGTACCTCTCTATAACATGACCCAGCTGTAATGTCAGTGGTCGCATTGATTTGATTTTTGGTTTGCTTGTAGGGCGCTGACACAAGAATTTAGTGACCCAAAACATTTGGCACTGCTGTGAATAGTTTAGTCGCAAAGTGGAGATTCACGGGTAAAATTCCCCAATCTGTGAGATTGGTTATTTTTCAGCTTTCAACAGCCCTGTGCAAGTTCTTTACAGAAATGCGGCTGCTTTTCTTGGTGCACTTGTCTATGTCCAGCTGCACAACGAGATGAGGCTGGTCATTGTCATTTTCTGAGCTGTGAACGGGCAGGCAGGCGAGAAAATGTCGGATTTCGACCATTTGTGCTGACCTTTGAATTTCAATGTACCTCTCTATAACATAATCCAGCTGTAATGTCAGTGGTCGCATTGATTTGATTTTTGGTTTCCTTGTAGGGCGCTGGCACCCACATTCAGTGACCCAAAAAATTTGGCACTGCTGTGAATAGTTTAGTCGCAAATTGAAGATTCACGGGTAAAAGGCCCCAAACTGTGAGATTGGTAATTTTTCAGCCTTCAGCATCCCTGTGCAAGTTCTTTAGAGAAATGTGGCTCTTTTTCTTGGTGCACTTGTCTATGTCCAGCTGCACAACGAGATGAGGCTGGTCATTGTCATTTTCTGAGCTGTGAACGGGCAGGAAGGTGAGAAAATGTCGGATTTTGACCATTTGTGCTGACCTTTGAATTTCAATGTACCTCTCTATAACATGACCCAGCTGTAATGTCAGTCGTCGCATTGATTTGATTTTTGGTTTCCTTGTAGGGCGCTGGCACCCACATTCACTGACCCAACAAATTTGGCACTGCTGTGAATAGTTTAGTCGCAAATTGAAGATTCACGGGCAAAAGGCCCCAAACTGTGAGATTGGTTATTTTTCAGCTTTCAGCAGCCCTGTGCAAGTTCTTTAGAGAAATGTGGCTGTTTTTCTTGCTGCACTTGTCTATGTCCAGCTGCACAACGAGATGAGTCTGGTCATTGGCATTTTCTGAGCTGTGAACGGGCAGGAAGGTGAGAAAATGTCGGATTTTGACCATTTGTGCTGACCTTTGAATTTCAATGTACCTCTCTATAACATGACCCAGCTGTAATGTCAGTGGTCGCATTGATTTGATTTTTAGTTTCCTTGTAGGGCGCTGGCACCCACATTCAGTGACCCAACAAATTTGGCACTGCTGTTAATAGTTTAGTCGCAAATTGAAGATTCACGGGTAAAAATCCCCAAACTGTGAGATTCGTTATTTTTCAGCTTTGAGCAGCCCTGTGCAAGTTCTTTAGAGAAATGTGGCTCTTTTTTACTTGGTGCACTTGTCTATGTCCAGCTGCACAAGGAGATGAGGCTGGTCATTGTCATTTTCTGAGCTGTGAACGGGCAGGAAGGTGAGAAAATGTCGGATTTTGACCATTTGTGCTGACCTTTGAATTTCAATGTACCTCTCTATAACATGACCCAGCTGTAATGTCAGTGGTCGCATTGATTTGATTTTTGGTTTCCTTGTAGGGCGCTGGCACCCTCATTCAGTGACCCAACAAATTTGGCACTGCTGTGAATAGTTTAGTCGCAAAGTGAAGATTCAAGGGTAAAAAGCCCCAAACTGTGAGATTGGTTATTTTTCAGCTTTCAGCAGCCCTGTGCAAGTTCTTTAGAGAAATGTGGCTGTTTTTCTTGGTGCACTTGTCTATGTCCAGCTGCACAACGAGATGAGGCTGGTCATTGTCATTTTCTGAGCTGTGAACGAGCAGGAAGGTGAGAAAATGTCGGATTTTGACCATTTGCCCAGAAATGCCCACATACCGTTCTCGTGATGCCCGCTCGACTCCCCTGGATGTCCCTGATTTTAGTGTATTTTCTTTGGATTCTCTAGACAGCAACACTGTCGCGAGTATGAATACTGCCATGTCCCACATACATTGGCCAGCAGCTTTGAGCCTGGAGAGGCGCGACCCTGACATATCTGTGGACAACTTTTACTCTATCTTCCATAACATCTGTGCAAGATTTCTGCCCAGGCAGAAGCCGCCGGCTGTCAAGCGTATCCATATGAACCCCCCCTGGCTGACCAGTACCCTCCGACATCAAATAAAGAAAAAACGAGATTCGTATAGTGTTTACCGAAAGTTTCCCTCGGCTGACAACTTCGCTATTTACAGACGAGAGCGAAACGTTACTCGCAATATGTCTCGAACTGCCCATCGACTGTACATCTCATCCCTAAGTGCATCCACGGCAAGACCCGCATCACCAAGTTTATTCCAGTTTGTCCGGAAGCTTCGATCTCCCCAAGGCAACAGCAGAACGACTGTAACTCAGCTCTCAGTCGCTGGTACTCTATATTCTGACCCTGTGGATGTGGCAGATGCTTTGAACGAACAGTTTATTGGTTTTGGAACACAAGATGATCCTTCATGGAATGTGCCAGACTTCAAGCCACCCGACGCCCCATCACGTGGAAGAACTACACCTACGTTGCAAGATGTCACCACCACGCCTTCTGCTGTGGCAAAGCAAATCCGCAACCTTAAGACCCGAAAGGCTGCGGGAGCGGACGGTATTTCTCATGAACTCCTGAAACTATTTTGTTCCAGTATTGCATACCCTCTCAGCCTCATCTTTAACCTCACTTTTGCAACTGGTGCTTTCCCTGCTATTTGGAAACACGCAATTGTAACTCCGGTCTTTAAGAACAAGGGAAGTAAGCTCGATGCATCGAATTACCGCCCGATTTCGTTATTGTCAACAATCTCCAAGCTGTGTGAACGTATTATGTACAACCACTTATACACTTACCTGTCTCCTGTTCTACATCCGTCCCAGTCTGGATTCCGAAAAGGCGACTCTACGTCCTGGCAGCTTCTCAGACTTGTTCCATCGATGTCTTCTGTTCGTGAGAACGGCCATTACAGCATGCTATGTTTCTTTGATCTAAGCAAGGCCTTCGACACCGTATGGACACGCGGGCTCCTATACAAGCTGTCGCGCCATGGAATCCATGGTACTTGCTTCACGTGGCTCAGTACTTACCTGACGGGCAGACAGCAAAGGGTGCGTGTCGGCTCTGCTCTGTCTGCCAAAGGGCATGTACGGTCTGGAGTTCCTCAGGGATCAATCCTGGGGCCTCTCCTCTTCCTTATGTATGTAAACGATCTGGCAGAAATGGATCACACATCACTATATGCTGATGATACAGCACTACTTGTGACAGCACCCACTCTCCCCGAGGCTAGTGCCAAGTTACAGTCTAACATAGATGGCGTTATTCATTGGATGGAAAAATGGAAATTGCAACCCAACTCTTCGAAAACTGCTGTAATGTGTATCCCCCCCAGTTGTTCCTGTGACCTATCTTCATTAGTAACCAGTCCCTTCACCTTTCCAGGCACCACAACCCCGCTCTGCATCGTTGAAAAACACAAGCATCTTGGCGTCATTATTGACCAACACTTAACCTGGAAATCCCAGATCGAAAATTTAGACAGCCGTGTTAGCTCAGTAATGGGATTTCTCTCATCACACATCACCCACCTGCACACCGACTGTCGCCATGTTATCTACACATCTTACATTCTGCCTATTTTTGATTACTGCTGCATAATTTGGGCTGGCATTTCTAAAACACTGATTGCTCGACTCGAAGTTATGCATAGGCGTCTTTTGAAAATATTATTTCGGCTTCCTCGCCTGACTCCAAGCGCAGACTTATACCGCCTTGCTTCTGCTGTGCCGCTCTCGGTCCGCGTGCGTTTTTTGGCATGCCAGACAATTCATAAAATTAAGCTGGGCATTGCTCCTCTTCATGCTCTCTCCTGCCTAAGCTGGTTTGCTCAATCTCAAGACATGCGCACCAGAAACTCTCTCCGCTTCCCTATTGCCCGGCCTGCCTCTATGCAAACATCTCCTCTCTTCCTTGCTTACCGCCATTGGTCTCTCCTCCCACAACATCTAAAATCCTGCCAATGTTACAATACATTCACACAGCTACTGCAGAATGCAACATACTAGTTGATATCCAGCCCTGCCCTAGCTTCTTTTGCTTTTCAGTTCCCCTTTCATTCTTTTTCTTTCCCCCCCTCTAGCTGTATTACCGCCATGGCTGGCTATCGCCCACATCACCATTTCATTGGCTAGTGCCACGTGATTGTGAATAAATAATAATAATAATAATAATAAAAATAATTTGTGCTGACCTTTGAATTTCAATGTACCTCTCTATAACATGACCCAGCTGTAATGTTAGTGGTCGCATTGATTTGATTATTGGTTTACTTGTAGCGCGCTAGCAACCACATTCAGTGACCCAGAAAATGTGGCACTGCTGTGAATAGTTTAGTCGCAAAGTGAAGATTCACGGGTAAAAAGCGCCAAACTGTGAGATTGGTTAATTTTCAGCTTTCAGCAGCCCTGTGCAAGTTCTTTAGAGAAATGTGGCTGTTTTTTTTGGTGCACTTGTCTATGTCAAGCTGCACAACGAGATTAGGCTGGTCATTGTCATTTTCTGAGCTGTGAACGGGCAGGAAGGTGAGAAAATGTCGGATTTTGACCATTTGTGCTGACCTTTGAATTTCAATGTACCTCTCTATAACATGACCCAGCTGTAATGTCAGTGGTCGCATTGATTTTATTATTGGTTAACTTGTAGGGCGCTAGCACCCACATTCAGTGACCCAGAAAATGTGGCACTGCTGTGAATAGTTTAGTCGCAAAGTGAAGATTCACGGGTAAAAGGCCCCAAACTGTGAGATTGGTTATTTTTCAGCTTTCAGCAGCCCTGTGCAAGTTCTTTAGAGAAATGTGGCTCTTTTTCTTGGTGCACTTGTCTATGTCCAGCTGCACAACGAGATGAGGCTGGTCATTGTCATTTTCTGAGCTGTGAACGGGCAGGAAGGTGAGAAAATGTCGGATTTTGACCATTTGTGCTGACCTTTCAATTTCAATGTACCTCTCTATAACATTGCCCAGCTGTAATGTCAGTGGTCGCATTGATTTGATTATTGGTTTGCTTGTAGGGCGCTGACACCCACATTCAGTGACCCAGAAAATGTGGCACTGCTGTGAATAGTTTAGTCGCCAAGTGAAGATTCACGGGTAAAAAGCCCCAAACTGTGAGATTGGTTGTTTTTCAGCGTTCAGCAGCCCTGGGCAAGTTCTTTAGAGAAATGTGACTGTTTTTCTTGGTGCACTTGTCTATGTCCAGCTGCACAACGAGATGAGGCTGGTCATTGTCATTTTCTGAGCTGTGAACGGGCAGGAAGGTGAGAAAATGTCGGATTTTTACCATTTGTGCTGACCTTTGAATTTCAATGTACCTCTCTATAACATGACCCAGCTGTTATGTCAGTGGTCGCATTGATTTTATTATTGGTTTACTTGTAGGGCGCTGGCACCCACATTCAGTGACCCAGAAAATGTGGCACTGCTGTGAATAGTTTAGTCGCAAAGTGAAGATTCACGGGTAAAAAGCCCCAAACTGTGAGATTTGTTATTTTTCAGCTTTCAGCAGCCCTGTGCAAGTTCTTTAGAGAAATGTGGCTCTATTTCTTGGTGCACTTGTCTATGTCCAGCTGCACAACGAGATGAGGCTGGTCATTGTCATTTTCTGAGCTGTGAACGAGCAGGAAGGTGAGAAAATGTCGGATTTTGACCATTTGTGCTGACCTTTGAATTTCAATGTACCTCTCTATAACATGACCCAGCTGTAATGTCAGTGGTCGCATTGATTTGATTTTTGGTTTGCTTGTAGGGCGCTGACACAAGAATTTAGTGACCCAAAAAATTTGGCACTGCTGTGAATAGTTTAGTCGCAAAGTGGAGATTCACGGGTAAAATTCCCCAATCTGTGAGATTGGTTATTTTTCAGCTTTCAACAGCCCTGTGCAAGTTCTTTACAGAAATGCGGCTGCTTTTCTTGGTGCACTTGTCTATGTCCAGCTGCACAACGAGATGAGGCTGGTCATTGTCATTTTCTGAGCTGTGAACGGGCAGGAAGGCGAGAAAATGTCGGATTTCGACCATTTGTGCTGACCTTTGAATTTCAATGTACCTCTCTATAACATGATCCAGCTGTAATGTCAGTGGTCGCATTGATTTGATTTTTGGTTTCCTTGTAGGGCGCTGGCACCCACATTCAGTGACCCAAAAAATTTGGCACTGCTGTGAATAGTTTAGTCGCAAATTGAAGATTCACGGGTAAAAGGCCCCAAACTGTGAGATTGGTAATTTTTCAGCTTTCAGCAGCCCTGTGCAAGTTCTTTAGAGAAATGTGGCTCTTTTTCTTGGTGCACTTGTCTATGTCCAGCTGCACAACGAGATGAGGCTGGTCATTGTCATTTTCTGAGCTGTGAACGGGCAGGAAGGTGAGAAAATGTCGGATTTTGACCATTTGTGCTGACCTTTGAATTTCAATGTACCTCTCTATAACATGACCCAGCTGTAATGTCAGTGGTCGCATTGATTTGATTTTTGGTTTCCTTGTAGGGCGCTGGCACCCACATTCACTGACCCAACAAATTTGGCACTGCTGTGAATAGTTTAGTCGCAAATTGAAGATTCACGGGCAAAAGGCCCCAAACTGTGAGATTGGTTATTTTTCAGCTTTCAGCAGCCCTGTGCAAGTTCTTTAGAGAAATGTGGCTGTTTTTCTTGCTGCACTTGTCTATGTCCAGCTGCACAACGAGATGAGTCTGGTCATTGGCATTTTCTGAGCTGTGAACGGGCAGGAAGGTGAGAAAATGTCGGATTTTGACCATTTGTGCTGACCTTTGAATTTCAATGTACCTCTCTATAACATGACCCAGCTGTAATGTCAGTGGTCGCATTGATTTGATTTTTAGTTTCCTTGTAGGGCGCTGGCACCCACATTCAGTGACCCAACAAATTTGGCACTGCTGTTAATAGTTTAGTCGCAAATTGAAGATTCACGGGTAAAAATCCCCAAACTGTGAGATTCGTTATTTTTCAGCTTTGAGCAGCCCTGTGCAAGTTCTTTAGAGGAATGTGGCTCTTTTTCTTGCTGCACTTGTCTATGTCCAGCTGCACAAGGAGATGAGGCTGGTCATTGTCATTTTCTGAGATGTGAACGGGCAGGAAGGTGAGAAAATGTCGGATTTTGACCATTTGTGCTGACCTTTGAATTTCAATGTACCTCTCTATAACATGACCCAGCTGTAATGTCAGTGGTCGCATTGATTTGATTTTTGGTTTGCTTGTAGGGCGCTGGCACCCACATTCAGTGACCCAGAAAATGTGGCACTGCTGTGAATAGTTTAGTCGCAAAGTGAAGATTCACGGGTAAAAAGCCCCAAACTGTGAGATTGGTTAATTTTCAGCTTTCAGCAGCCCTGTGCAAGTTCTTTAGAGAAATGTGGCTGTTTTTCTTGGTGCACTTGTCTATGTCCAGCATCACAACGAGATGAGGCTGGTCATTGTCATTTTCTGAGCTGTGAACGGGCAGGAAGGTGAGAAAATGTCGGATTTTGACCATTTGTGCTGACCTTTGAATTTCAATGTACCTCTCTATAACATGACCCAGCTGTAATGTCAGTAGTCGCATTGATTTGATTTTTGGTTTGCTTGTAGGGCGCTGGCACCCACATTCAGTGACCCAACAAATTTGGCACTGCTGTGAATAGTTTAGTCGCAAAGTGAAGATTCAAGGGTAAAAAGCCCCAAACTGTGAGATTTGTTATTTTTCAGCTTTCAGTAGCCCTGTGCAAGTTCTTTAGAAAAATGTGGCTCTTTTTCTTGGTGCACTTGTCTATGTCCAGCTTCACAACGAGATGAGGCTGGTCATTGTCATTTTCTGAGCTGTGAACGGGCAGGAAGGTGAGAAAATGTCGGAATTTGACCATTTGTGCTGACCTTTGAATTTCAATGTACCTCTCTATAACATGACCCAGCTGTAATGTTAGTGGTCGAATTGATTTGATTTTTGGTTTGCTGGTAGGGCCATGGCACCTACATTCAGTGACTCAAAAAAATTTGGCACTGCTGTGAATAGTTTAGTCGCAAAGTGAAGATTCACGGGTAAAAATCCCCAAATGTACCTCTCTATAACATGACCCAGCTGTAATGTCAGTGGTCGCATTGATTTGATTTTTGGTTTCCTTGTAGGGCGCTGGAACCCACATTCAGTGACCCAACAAATTTGGCACTGCTGTGAATAGTTTAGTCGCAAAGTGAAGATTCAAGGGTAAAAAGCCCCAAACTGTGAGATTGGTTATTTTTCAGCTTTCAGCAGCCCTGTGCAAGTTCTTTAGAGAAATGTGGCTGTTTTTCTTGGTGCACTTGTCTATGTCCAGCTGCACAACGAGATGAGGCTGGTCATTGTCATTTTCTGAGCTGTGAACGAGCAGGAAGGTGAGAAAATGTCGGATTTTGACCATTTGTGCTGACCTTTGAATTTCAATGTACCTCTCTATAACATGACCCAGCTGTAATGTTAGTGGTCACATTGATTTGATTATTGGTTTACTTGTAGCGCGCTAGCAACCACATTCAGTGACCCAGAAAATGTGGCACTGCTGTGAATAGTTTAGTCGCAAAGTGAAGATTCACGGGTAAAAAGCCCCAAACTGTGAGATTGGTTGTTTTTCAGCGTTCAGTAGCCCTGGGCAAGTTCTTTAGAGAAATGGGACTGTTTTTCTTGGTGCACTTGTCTATGTCCAGCTGCAAAACGAGATGAGGCTGGTCATTGTCATTTTCTGAGCTGTGAACGGGCAGGAAGGTGAGAAAATGTCGGGTTTTGACCATTTGTGCTGACCTTTGAATTTCAATGTACCTCTCTATAACATGACCCAGCTGTAATGTCAGTGGTCGCATTGATTTTATTATTGATTTACTTGTAGGACGCTGGCACCCCCATTCAGTGACCCAGAAATGTGGCACTGCTGTGAATAGTTTAGTCGCAAAGTGAAGATTCACGGGTAAAAAGCCCCAAACTGTGAGATTTGTTATTTTTCAGTTTTCAGCAGTCTGTGCAAGTTCTTTAGAGAAATCTGGCTCTTTTTCTTGGTGCACTTGTCTATGTCCAGCTGCACAACGAGATGAGGCTGGTCATTGTCATTTTCTGAGCTGTGAACGAGCAGGAAGGTGAGAAAATGTCGGATTTTGACCATTTGCCCAGAAATGCCCACATACCGTTCTCGTGATGCCCGCTCGACTCCCCTGGATGTCCCTGATTTTAGTGTATTTTCTTTGGATTCTCTAGACAGCAACACTGTCGCGAGTATGAATACTGCCATGTCCCACATACATTGGCCAGCAGCTTTGAGCCTGGAGAGGCGCGACCCTGACATATCTGTGGACAACTTTTACTCTATCTTCCATAACATCTGTGCAAGATTTCTGCCCAGGCAGAAGCCGCCGGCTGTCAAGCGTATCCATATGAACCCCCCCTGGCTGACCAGTACCCTCCGACATCAAATAAAGAAAAAACGAGATTCGTATAGTGTTTACCGAAAGTTTCCCTCGGCTGACAACTTCGCTATTTACAGACGAGAGCGAAACGTTACTCGCAATATGTCTCGAACTGCCCATCGACTGTACATCTCATCCCTAAGTGCATCCACGGCAAGACCCGCATCACCAAGTTTATTCCAGTTTGTCCGGAAGCTTCGATCTCCCCAAGGCAACAGCAGAACGACTGTAACTCAGCTCTCAGTCGCTGGTACTCTATATTCTGACCCTGTGGATGTGGCAGATGCTTTGAACGAACAGTTTATTGGTTTTGGAACACAAGATGATCCTTCATGGAATGTGCCAGACTTCAAGCCACCCGACGCCCCATCACGTGGAAGAACTACACCTACGTTGCAAGATGTCACCACCACGCCTTCTGCTGTGGCAAAGCAAATCCGCAACCTTAAGACCCGAAAGGCTGCGGGAGCGGACGGTATTTCTCATGAACTCCTGAAACTATTTTGTTCCAGTATTGCATACCCTCTCAGCCTCATCTTTAACCTCACTTTTGCAACTGGTGCTTTCCCTGCTATTTGGAAACACGCAATTGTAACTCCGGTCTTTAAGAACAAGGGAAGTAAGCTCGATGCATCGAATTACCGCCCGATTTCGTTATTGTCAACAATCTCCAAGCTGTGTGAACGTATTATGTACAACCACTTATACACTTACCTGTCTCCTGTTCTACATCCGTCCCAGTCTGGATTCCGAAAAGGCGACTCTACGTCCTGGCAGCTTCTCAGACTTGTTCCATCGATGTCTTCTGTTCGTGAGAACGGCCATTACAGCATGCTATGTTTCTTTGATCTAAGCAAGGCCTTCGACACCGTATGGACACGCGGGCTCCTATACAAGCTGTCGCGCCATGGAATCCATGGTACTTGCTTCACGTGGCTCAGTACTTACCTGACGGGCAGACAGCAAAGGGTGCGTGTCGGCTCTGCTCTGTCTGCCAAAGGGCATGTACGGTCTGGAGTTCCTCAGGGATCAATCCTGGGGCCTCTCCTCTTCCTTATGTATGTAAACGATCTGGCAGAAATGGATCACACATCACTATATGCTGATGATACAGCACTACTTGTGACAGCACCCACTCTCCCCGAGGCTAGTGCCAAGTTACAGTCTAACATAGATGGCGTTATTCATTGGATGGAAAAATGGAAATTGCAACCCAACTCTTCGAAAACTGCTGTAATGTGTATCCCCCCCAGTTGTTCCTGTGACCTATCTTCATTAGTAACCAGTCCCTTCACCTTTCCAGGCACCACAACCCCGCTCTGCATCGTTGAAAAACACAAGCATCTTGGCGTCATTATTGACCAACACTTAACCTGGAAATCCCAGATCGAAAATTTAGACAGCCGTGTTAGCTCAGTAATGGGATTTCTCTCATCACACATCACCCACCTGCACACCGACTGTCGCCATGTTATCTACACATCTTACATTCTGCCTATTTTTGATTACTGCTGCATAATTTGGGCTGGCATTTCTAAAACACTGATTGCTCGACTCGAAGTTATGCATAGGCGTCTTTTGAAAATATTATTTCGGCTTCCTCGCCTGACTCCAAGCGCAGACTTATACCGCCTTGCTTCTGCTGTGCCGCTCTCGGTCCGCGTGCGTTTTTTGGCATGCCAGACAATTCATAAAATTAAGCTGGGCATTGCTCCTCTTCATGCTCTCTCCTGCCTAAGCTGGTTTGCTCAATCTCAAGACATGCGCACCAGAAACTCTCTCCGCTTCCCTATTGCCCGGCCTGCCTCTATGCAAACATCTCCTCTCTTCCTTGCTTACCGCCATTGGTCTCTCCTCCCACAACATCTAAAATCCTGCCAATGTTACAATACATTCACACAGCTACTGCAGAATGCAACATACTAGTTGATATCCAGCCCTGCCCTAGCTTCTTTTGCTTTTCAGTTCCCCTTTCATTCTTTTTCTTTCCCCCCCTCTAGCTGTATTACCGCCATGGCTGGCTATCGCCCACATCACCATTTCATTGGCTAGTGCCACGTGATTGTGAATAAATAATAATAATAATAATAATAAAAATAATTTGTGCTGACCTTTGAATTTCAATGTACCTCTCTATAACATGACCCAGCTGTAATGTTAGTGGTCGCATTGATTTGATTATTGGTTTACTTGTAGCGCGCTAGCAACCACATTCAGTGACCCAGAAAATGTGGCACTGCTGTGAATAGTTTAGTCGCAAAGTGAAGATTCACGGGTAAAAAGCGCCAAACTGTGAGATTGGTTAATTTTCAGCTTTCAGCAGCCCTGTGCAAGTTCTTTAGAGAAATGTGGCTGTTTTTTTTGGTGCACTTGTCTATGTCAAGCTGCACAACGAGATTAGGCTGGTCATTGTCATTTTCTGAGCTGTGAACGGGCAGGAAGGTGAGAAAATGTCGGATTTTGACCATTTGTGCTGACCTTTGAATTTCAATGTACCTCTCTATAACATGACCCAGCTGTAATGTCAGTGGTCGCATTGATTTTATTATTGGTTAACTTGTAGGGCGCTAGCACCCACATTCAGTGACCCAGAAAATGTGGCACTGCTGTGAATAGTTTAGTCGCAAAGTGAAGATTCACGGGTAAAAGGCCCCAAACTGTGAGATTGGTTATTTTTCAGCTTTCAGCAGCCCTGTGCAAGTTCTTTAGAGAAATGTGGCTCTTTTTCTTGGTGCACTTGTCTATGTCCAGCTGCACAACGAGATGAGGCTGGTCATTGTCATTTTCTGAGCTGTGAACGGGCAGGAAGGTGAGAAAATGTCGGATTTTGACCATTTGTGCTGACCTTTCAATTTCAATGTACCTCTCTATAACATTGCCCAGCTGTAATGTCAGTGGTCGCATTGATTTGATTATTGGTTTGCTTGTAGGGCGCTGACACCCACATTCAGTGACCCAGAAAATGTGGCACTGCTGTGAATAGTTTAGTCGCCAAGTGAAGATTCACGGGTAAAAAGCCCCAAACTGTGAGATTGGTTGTTTTTCAGCGTTCAGCAGCCCTGGGCAAGTTCTTTAGAGAAATGTGACTGTTTTTCTTGGTGCACTTGTCTATGTCCAGCTGCACAACGAGATGAGGCTGGTCATTGTCATTTTCTGAGCTGTGAACGGGCAGGAAGGTGAGAAAATGTCGGATTTTTACCATTTGTGCTGACCTTTGAATTTCAATGTACCTCTCTATAACATGACCCAGCTGTTATGTCAGTGGTCGCATTGATTTTATTATTGGTTTACTTGTAGGGCGCTGGCACCCACATTCAGTGACCCAGAAAATGTGGCACTGCTGTGAATAGTTTAGTCGCAAAGTGAAGATTCACGGGTAAAAAGCCCCAAACTGTGAG